TATTTAAAAAAAAAAAAAAAAAATCACATATGAACAACAAATCAGGATGGATACCTCATCTCTATTAAGTATAGAAGCAGCTATGCTAAATACGATTAGTCTGAGGATCTGACTGATCAAAGACTGCAGATGGAAAAAAAAGTAGCAGGGAATTTCTCTATTGTAAATAAAGTGGCGTTGGCGTCTGTGGCTTAGGCGTTGAGAAAGAGCTTTGTAATGCCGGGGTGGCGGGTTCGATCCCAGCTGCGGGCCTTGTGCCTTGCGTTGGTTTCGACAGTGGTATCGAGAAGCGACCGTCCAGAAAGCAATGGCAAACTACTGGACGTAAATTTGCTAAGAAAGACCACAACAGCCAAAAAATTGCTGGTGTTGCTTCTGCAACGTCCTAGTAGTAGTAGTAGACTTTTAACCCACCAGGACATCATACAAGCGATAAACACCCAATGACACAAAGTGCCACCATGTGGATGAGGATCACCGTGGAGAGGTCCCAGAAACCTCTAAGGGTCCTAGTCCAGCTCTGTATACAAGCCTGAACTGATTGAATAATGGAGCCGATACAGAAACAGGGCAAGTTTAGCCGCAGTTGCAAGATGAAATTAATGCCATCTCCAGAAAGACTTGGGTGAAACCTTACATGCTTTCTGTGGTGGAGCGTGGGCACAGACATAAAAAAAAGCAGATAACATATTTTAATTGCGTGCCGTCTCCACAACGATAGTTACTTTTGCCGAAATCGAGCCCTGGTACTCAGGACCATGGAATGTTGAAGATCATTCATTAACCTCTAAATTACGGGGCCTCTAGGAAGTAAATGCAGATGGATGGATGAATGATTAGGTAGGTAGGTAGGTAGATACATAAATAGAGGGTAGACGCACATCATCATCATGTGCCCTGCCAACTGGCGTAGGCGCTCTTGCGTCTTCACAGATCACTATTCCTGGTTGCCCGGAACAGCTCTCTTGATGATATCCTTCCATGCCATCGTTTCAGCCCATCCTGAATCATCTCTTTGGTCTGCCTCTACCCCTTTCCCCACTGATTTTTCCAGTTGTCACAATGTTCTCCAATGTCACTCTTTTCATTATATGGCCAAAGAACAGTGTTTGTCTCTTTTTAATTGTTGTGTTTAGAGATCTACATTCATTAGCGTCTTTCAAGCAATCGATTGTAACTGATTCAGAAAGCATGCTGAGGAAGATCAGAACAGGCATGCTTCGTGCAGAGTGGCATACTTCGCTGCGGAGGACACGAGTGGGGAGTATTGTCTGGATTTTTTCACCGGGGTACGCCGGTGTGTTGGGAAATGAACAGGCGGACAGACTGGCTGGCTCTGCACAACTTGGTGGAATACTGATACATGATAAGGCAGATGTGGTTAGTGCCTTGTGGGAGAGCTTGTACAGTTCGGAGGAGCAGATGGATCACCAGTCTGGTGAGATTGATGCAGAGGGGAGTGACGAGAGGTTCTGGCAGATGCTCGAGGCTCAGAGGAAAGGCAAGACGGACGTTTAATCAGAATGCTACTGGCACCATTAGTATCGGAACTCTTCGCTGGCTGCTGAAGATGGGGACGGGGTGCTTATGGGAATGCCCCGAGTGCTGTGATGTCGGTTTTTGAATCAAATCAATCAAGCAATCTTTGTTAGTTACTCTCGCCGTCCAAGGTATTCGTCTCAGAAACCACATCTCTGTTGCTCCCAAATTCTTCTTAATTTATTCACTGACATTCCAAGATTCGCTGCCATACAGCTGATCAGGTTGTATGTAACATTCTAGCACCCTCTTCTTCTTCTTCTTCACTTCCTCTTTTACCGCTGCGGGTGTCGAGGGAGATATAAGGTTCTGTTTCTAGCTCTTCTGGCTGCCTCGACCATAGGCACATCGTGCTGTTGTAGAGTTTCTCTGATGTTATCCTTCCATCTTGTTCTTGGTCTACCCCGTGCTCTACGTCCTTCTTCTCTTTCCATGTATGCTTTGTATGGTATGGTGTCACAAGGCATTCTCTCTAAGTGGGCAAACCATTTCACTTGCTGTCTTTGTATGTAATCCAGAATTGGCTCTGTTCCGACTTGTTCTCTTATGATCTCATTCCTGATCTTATCTCTTATGGTCACTCCTACAGCCCTTCTCAGACATCTCATTTCCGTGTATACTAATTTTCTTTTATGGTTTGTTGTGAGTGACCATGTCTGGCACCCTCTTACTGACATTAAATGAGAGTTGAGTCATGAGTTACAAGTTAGATTATCTTCACAGCACTCCGGACACATCCATAGGCGCTCAGATTCCCCCTCTTAACATATTTATCAGCGTCGTGCGTTTAATAGCACCAGTCCTATGTTAGTTAACAAGACTTCATGTGCGTCCGGTGTGCTTCTCATGCTTGGCTGTGCCAGTCTTTACTCCCAATTCGCTTATTCTTAGCAGTGATGTGGACATGTTGCTTCCAAAATCCCCAGAACGTCCTATCTCTCTAAGAGCAATGACAATGTCTGCGTGATCCATGGGCAGGCCATCTTAAATTAATGCAGCACCAGTCTATCAGCTCTTTCATGACTAACAACGCCTGCATGGCCTGGAACGAATATGAAAGTAACTGCACACACAGGAGAATTTTGCAAAGACTCAAGCCACTGTCTGCGTAACCAGCCTGCCTCGACCCGCTTTAGACGCTGGTATCCACTCCTCACCTGGATGGATGTCTGTAAGGCTGCATGATGTTATCATCTGCCCTGCCCAGCCATGATTTGCCCCCTTTAAGCCTATTGCCCTTTTACGTGAAGAGCATGTGGTGCAAAGGGCGCTTAAGATCTGAGCTTATCTTGAAGTATGCAATAGCCCTCGAGATCTTGATCCTGTAGTTCATGGTAGGGAAGTCAAGAAGGTACCTTATTGCTACACAAGAGGTGTCTCCAGTTCACCCTAGAATAATGCGCATTGCTTTATTTTGCTCCTTCTCAAGTCTTTCAATCTGACTATGGCTGACAGTGAGGATGGCAAGAGCATATTCTATAGGAGAAAGTACAAGTCCCTGGAGCAGTAGCAGAAGCGTCTCTGCTCAGTGTTAGAGACGGCCGGGACCCCCATTGCTGGCAGGCCTTTGCATGCTTTTGTTATGACATGGTCAACATGTTCTTTGAAGGATAGGCTGCGATCAAACCTCACTCCAAGGTATGTCGTCAGATTTGTTCTCTTCAAAATTTCCTCGCTGTTTTCCACTGCTGGTAAGTCTGCCGTCACTATATGCATGTTCCAGGAGAAACACATTAATGAGGCCTTCGAAGGGTTGACATGAGAATTAGAATCTGCACACAAGGAGGAGATGCGATTAAGTTAACTCTGCATTGACTTGGAAATCTCTTGACCATCTCTTACATGTCGATTTACCAAGAGGTCATCAGAAAATGGCAAGGTCATGCCACTACTGTGCAACTGCTGCTCAGTTATCAGCACTGTGTACACGATGAATAGCATTGGAGACAGCAGAGAACCTCGAGGCAATCCTGAGCTGCTGGTTATCGGTTCTGAGGACCAACAACCACACCTGTTTATCACCCGTCTCTAAAACAGTGCTGCGGCTACCCAGCGAGTGAGGAAGGGAGATACTTGCAGTTGGAGAAGTATGTTCACCAAGTATTCAAATGGTACTCTGTTGTACGCATCCTCTAGGTCTAGTGCAGCTGCACATGTCTCTTCTCCCACCTGAAAAACTTCATAGATTTCACATGCGAAGACTGTTGCATTGAGCCGTGTTTCTTTGTTTCGTCTGTATCCCCCAAGTGTGGATGGTAGCCCGTCATACTTTTCCAAGTCATCCAGCGAGTCTACGTTAAATGAGAGCGATTTACTGCATAAGATATTTTTCATTTTCTGAAATGCAGCTTTCACTTGACCTATTCTGCTTTTAATCTCTGTAACACATTTTCCATCTGATGATGTGATTGTTCCCAGATATTTGAATTTGTTGTCTTTTCCCTTCAACTGAGACATCATAACTTATCTTTTTCCTTGATATAACCATTACTTCCAACCCCACAAAATCCAGCAGTTTTTGTAAATCAATCAGTTGCATTTTCATCTATCAAAACTGTAGCATTTGCATAACGCAACTTGTTTATATTGTATACTCCAACTCTAACTCCTGCAATCTCTTGAATTTCCACAAAATTATAGACACATACATACATAAATATATAAACATACACATATAAATATGTGTGTTTATATATATATATATATATATATATATATAATATATATATATAGGTATTCATACATACACATACACAAGCATACTCACAAACACTTATACATATATCACAAGTATGCACAAATACACACACACACATATTACACACACACACTCAGACGTACACTCGTAAATACACATACATAGACCCATATATTCACACTCAAAAATACTCCTTCTTGTATAGACAGACACAGACAGGCAGACAGACAGATGAATAGATAGATAGATAGATAGATAGATAGATAGATAGATAGATAGATAGATAGATAGATAGATAGATAGATAGATAGATAGATAGATAGATAGATAGATAGATAGATAGATAGATAGATAGATAGATAGATAGATAGATAGATAGATAGATAGATAAACCCATGCCTCATTACTCACACAGCGCGTAGTTTATTGATTGAAAACCTCCCTTGCGCCTGCGCAGTGAAGACAATCGCTAGCAGACGAGAAAGAACATCACATCCATCGTGGCTCCTGCTCGGTTCCAGGTCTAGAACTCGCAGTTTGTGATTCCGCTCGGTCGATAACTCGAGAAATGTCGCATTTGTTGTAATGTGTAGCGAAGTTTCTGAATTACACCGACATTTCAGTTTTGATTTCACGAAGGACTAATACACCATGCTGTTCTTGAAAATGAATTTATTAAACAGACCGCCGAATCAACGCCAGCAGCCTTGTCCAAGCCTGTGATTTCTGAACGGATTCTGAAGTCGGGGAGAATTTGGTGTAGATCGAGCTGGTATACAAGCTAAGACTAAAATGGCAAAGGCTGTGAGAAGATGGGAAGTGTTTCCCGGTAAAAATAAGTTTTATTGTAATGGAAGGATTATGATGGCGAGGCAGGCCGGTGTGTTTTATCTGACTTGTGCTTTGATCATCGTCACCAGTGGACTTTTCTTCGCTTTCGAGTAAGTAGAATGAAGTATATTGCTAGATAAATATTCGGTTAACTAGTCCAAGTTTTATTTGTTGTCATCGCAGCAGTTTAAGTACTATCACCGTGTGTCCAGCAAAATAAGGCCTGATTTTATATACATTGTTGTTTTCAAAAGTCACAAATATATTTTCAAAAGATGTAATTTTTCGTGTACATAAATCTTCATTTAAATTATCCCTAATTTCATTATCACTAACTATATTTTAAAATTTGTTTATGTAATTCATTATCTCTGTCGTGTTGTTTAATAGAGGAATAAAACCCATCTGTCTGGCCAATGATCCAATGCTGCTAATACTTGCATTTTGTTCCCTCTAGGCTTGCAGTCTGCAGGATTAACACCTCAAGGATGAGAATCCTACTTATACAAATCCTGGCAAGCCCCGTCCAATCGTTAAGGTTAAATAAGACTCGCGACGGTTACGAAGTATCCCGAAGTCCAGTTCGGGTGGGGAATACACGTCACAACAGGGTTTATATTTGGGCTGGGGCTTATATTGCTAGCATTCTAAAGCAAGAAAACAAAATCGTGCTAGGGCTTATTTTCTGGTTGCTTTATTTTTCGGGGAACACTACGTTGTTGCCATAATAGTAGTAAGGACTCTTATCATGCTGCTTGCGCATTTGGGCATATGGTGTTAGGACTATATTTTGAAGACCAAACGCCACTCGATGGGACGGTATGGTCAGCATTTCGCTGATCGCCTTTACTTCTCAAGAGTACATTGTAGTTATTTTGAGCTAAGTCGACATCGGAGCCAAGTTATAACATTTAAATCAAACTTTGCTGATCTGAACCCAAGACTTTTGGGACAACGGTAAACATCTAGCCTCTGCGCTACCCTAATTACAGTAGTTCCCATACCAGCAGTAGTAGTATTGTAGAGTAGTAGTAGTAGTAGTAGTGGCGGTGGTGGTGGTGGTAGTAGCCCTTGTGCTGCTGCTGCTACTACTGCTGCTGCTACTACTACTACTACTACGACTACTACCATCACCACTACTACTACTACTGCTTGTAGCAGTAGTTGTAGTAGTTGTAGTCAGTAGTTATAGTAGTAGTAGTCAGTGGTCATAGCAGTCGTAGTCAGTAGTTATAGAAGTAGTAGGAGTAGTAAATTACTCTTTGCACGCCACTGGAGTGTTGAGAGTATTTATTTTTTTGGTGACTTATTTTCATAGACCAATCGGCACTCAGTTGCTGATGTGATCAATGTAGTCTTTACTTCTCTGGACTTTAACAGGTACCCATTTTATACTGTTTAACATAGGAACAGAGGTCATTAAAAATACATCTGACACCCTGCGCCAGAGTAGGGCTCCAAATGACAAAAAAAATTCGTCCTAAAAAAGGACGAAATTGTGTATTACTACACACATATCCACAATACCATGTTTCCAGGAAAATATGACCGGGTCTTACTAATTGCTAAAAAAAAATGTACTAGGGCTTATATTTGGGAGAATGTCTTTTGTCGGATACAAAAATCTCGAAGACAACTTAACACAAACATCAGAAAGATAGACATCATTTTTGGTTTTGTTATAAGCAGAGGGAAACTGTAACGTGTTGTGGCCACTGGAAACGTCTGTGGAAAGAGAGATGGAGGAATACAGGAGGAGAATATTCTTGAGCGTTTTGTCTTAAAATGGAGGCGTGTCAACACACGAACTGATACACGCAGTTGTGGATCGCAGATTTTGGTGAGGCATATCGCCCACACTAGCCGGCACTGATGATGATGATTATGACGATGTTGACTGCCTTAATTATTTTATGGAAAAGTAGGGGAAAAAAAAGGGGGGGGGGGGGGGGTTATGCCTTGTTTAGAGGTGAACCACCACATTCCCTCTTAAAAACGTTTTGGGGTCCAGGCCCCGAAGTTCAGTCACAGGCTCTCAGGTTAATGGGTATATTGGTTAGGAGATTCTAAACAAGAATTATTTTATCGCCAACATAACTATCAGCGCATCTTCTTCCTCCCTCACATGTTATGAACGTCGACTTTTTGTTCTGCAGTAGATGCACATTGGATATTTGTTCAGATGTGCAGCCCAGACCTGTGGCTTTGCTCAGCAGTATCTATCCTAACATTTGTTTATATTTCAGCTAGAAGTATCATAGTCTTATGGAATTGAAAAGTACAGCTTTGGATCAGAATTACATAGTAATCAGATATGTTAGATTAACATAACAAAAGAATGAGACAGAAAGAGTGACGAAACGTGCACCAGTTGTTTTTTGTAATTAATAGGTTATGTACTTCTCCTAGAACATGTGTGAACTTACATCTATAGAGCTATTTGTATCCCAGAAATCATTGGTAATGGTTTCTAGATTCATCGTGGCAGTTTAACTTTATTAAATACATTTGCTTGCCAATCTTTTATTTCCAGAAGGCTTACTTGATGCCTTTGTTTTTTCTTTCACTGGCTGTGAACTTTGTGTCTGGACTTTTGTCTTGCGCTAGGACAAGCCTCTTCAACAAAGTTTACTAAGGGGCTAGAATATTGAAAATGGGGATCGCCACTGGCGAGCGGTCTGAGTCCCAGAATAAGAAGAATCATTAGTACAAGCAGCGGGCTGGCTCTTACAGTGCCTCTGTGGGCTGGGATTTGGCACTCGGGCCGACAGTTAAATAGCTGTTTTAGGACTAAAGTGTGAACTTGGTTTTCTCTCTCTGGCTCATTGTGTGCAGGTCCCCCCCCCCCCCCACACTCGCCTCCTCCGCACCCTCGGCTCCCCCACCCTCCCCCCTCGCCTATCGGGCAGATGCACTTCGACCTCGTGTTTTTGTTTATTCAATTGATCATCGTCATAGCCCACGGGTGTAACCTATAAGTGCTCAGGTTTTCTTTTAACTCAAGCATCTCCAAAGAATCTCAGCGCAGTGCACGAACTCTGTTGCCCCGGCGAGGATTCTAAACTACTTTGAGTAGATTTTAAAAAACTCTAAATTATGCCCATGCAGCACTGTTATGCTACTCTTTTCGATTTCCAACTGCCAAGGGATTTTTTTACGTGCGCAACAATACACACGGGCGTCCGGTTTTACTACCCAGAGACCAGTGGGGCATTACTAGAAATCGACGTGAAAAATCCCAGCCTTCACCTGGGCTTGAACCCAGGGCCTCTAGCACTCGAGGCGGACACCATGCCTCGAGACCATGCAGCACCTCTCCTTGACCTCTAAGGAAACGTTCTGTCTACGCTGGCAAAGTTTCCAGTAGGGAACGTGTTTCTAGGATGGAGATATTTCTTGGCCTTGGCTGATGTGAGCTCAGGTACTAGTGTAAACCGTATGTGATGGTGATACCTTTGTATCCTGTTTTTAGGCTACTGTCTCCCTTCTGTATAATAGCCCCCCCCCCCCCACCATCACACTTACCTTTGTACTTCTCGATCTTATAATTGATTCCACTCTGTCACCATTGTGTTTGACACGCGCGCTCGCACACTCATACACAAACACGGACGTTTGTTTGTGTGTCTGCTTTCGTGTATCGATTTTCCACCCCGCTTCCTACCTACACGCTGACGCAGGCGATCAGTGCGACCTTACTAACCGTCATGAATGTTGTCTACTGCGCCAGAATGCCAAAATCAATGAAGCGGGCTGAGTAATAGGGATCGAAAATTCCATAGGGCTGTTGTTGTTGCCTTTCGTGACAGTTCTCTATAAATTTATTTCTTTCTTTCTTTCTTTCTTTCTTTCTTTCTTTCTTTCTTTCTTTCTTTCTTTCTTTCTTTCTTTCTTTCTTTCTTTCTTTCTTTCTTTCTTTCTTTCTTTCTTTCTTTTTTTTTACTTTCTTTCTTTATCGAGCTGATATATTGTCATGTCCAAAAGTCAAGTCACTCCCCATTTCCGTCGAATTGATCAATAAAGTTGCCTTGTGACCGGGCACTGGTCTTATCTTCTAGTTTCACCAGTTTGCTTACTAGTTGCTTTACCGACGTAATTATCCACTGGTTGTGTGTGGGATGTGATTTCCACTGCATTACACTATATGTCGTGTTACAAAGATATCACTACACATAAGCGCAATAACACACACGCGCGCGCACACACACACTCTTCAGATCTCCTGTCGCAGTCTAAAGCTGTCTTTGTAATTAGGGGAGGGTGGGAGTCTCTCTCGAGACGTGGGGGATTGTGGATGAGTAAGAATATACAAATATGTATGATTGATGGAAAGATATGTAGAGTTAGACAACTAGAGAAGATTATAGGCATCATTTTGTCATATCACAGAAGGTGTCAGCACACGAACGATTACACACTATTGGAGATCACACAGTATGGATAAAGGTGATCACCCACGCCAGTCGGCAAAGCTGTTGCTGATAAAGAAGATACTGATTAAAACATATACAGTTATTAACAATTTTTGTCTTAAAAACCCGTTGAGGCAGTAAATCTCGGCAGTATGTGGGTAGGGTTGGATAGAACACGGTCTACTTTATTTATCCTGGAGCCCGGCCGTGGGATGTGGAGATGGCTCTGGATGGGGAGATGTTAAAAACTATCCGATACAGATGACTTTAAATGGGTACCGGGTAAATCCTGGGATTCAAAGGCGACCGGCGTGATCTTGATCACATCACTCACCGAGTGCCGATTGGTCTATAAAACATAAACCTATCGGTATATGCCTAAAGCTGAAGAATAGGGTCTTTTCAACTGATATCTGGTGGCATAAGGATCAGTACTCATTCATCGCAAGGCTTTGATCCAGGTTCAGGTTAGATAATGTTTGTTATTTTTCGTTAGCCGTTGCTCAGTTTTGGAGATACTTTTAAAGACGTTGTTCATCATTAGGAAATCTATTTAATGTCTTTACAAGTACAATTCAAAGAATGTACCCCCCCCCCTCCCCCCTCCAAAAAAAAGTTCCATTATGTAAACAGTGCTAATCCGGGATAGAGTGTTTATAGTTTAGCCCTTGTAACCTTCTTCAACAAAATGAAACTTATTGTGATTCCTCCAGATTAGACACTAAAACTGCCACATTTTGTTGGCGTTAAACTTCAAGTAGCGTCCAGGACGTCTGCCATACCCTAGGTACGCTACTGTATCTATTACCCTCTCTTGTAGTCTCTTTTTGTCTTCTCCGTTAACGTACCCCTTGTTGTGGCGTATTAGAATATTCCTATTCTCACGACAAAGAATAGGGACTGTCTTTTTATTTTTTCTGGTGTGGGTAATAATTTCTTTTTACGAGTTAGCCGAGGGTCTTTGCGGTTTTCAGTATGCTCTTGCCAAGACAGAAGGACATTTTGTCTGATTTCAGCAAGCACCTTCAGTTTGGGAACTCTTTGTTGGTTACTGAGGAAGGAGACGGAGCACGCGTAGGAGTATCCCTGAGTGCAGTATCAGCTCTTTATTGACTGAGTAGCCACATTGATTTATTTCGTTTATTAAGTTAGCTTACTGCTACCAAGATCCCCTACCCCTGAGTAGAAATGTCCAGCCCTATACTGTAAGTGAACTAGATAACTTCCGGTTCTAACAGCGGAGGCCTAAGCCATACAGCATGGCACTTGATGTTGATAACTTGCTGTTCGTAATTAAAAGACAGTTGAAGTTAATCTCTCTCTCTTCCCCCTCCACCAACCCCCTCCCCTTTTTTCACTCTCATCCATCCCTTCATGCATTTGTTAGCGCGCGCGCGCACACACACACACACACACACATATATATATATATATATATATATATATATATACAGAGAGAGAGAGAGAGAGAGAGAGAGAGAGAGAGACCAGGCGTAAATGTTCATTGTCTGCTCTGTTTGTCCTGTGCTTGTGTGTCTGTTCAACATTTATGTCCTCCTGTATCACGTAAACATTCCACAGGGGAAAACGCGCATCAATATTGGGCGTATTCGAGCGAGCACCCGCTTCATGCATACTTAACTTCACGGGTAATATAATTTCTTATTCTGTACCCGCTTCTGATATATTAGTGAGGATGCCCCTTATAAACATTGAAAGGTTTAATTAAAACTAGGGGTTCTTAATGTCCCTTGACAGTCTGGGTAAAGTCTGCAGACATCAGCATTCTTCAGCTTCGTCCTGTTTGGCATTTACATCGCAAACGCATACATTAAGTAAAGCCAGCGATATGGAACGGTCTAGCGCTATGTTGGTAACTGGAAAAAAAAGTAATTAAGGGATCCTTTTTCCACACCTTCAGGCGTATTGAGCATATTGGGCTAGACTTATATTTTATAAACCAGTCGGCACTCGGTGGGTGATGATCACACCGGCCGCCTTTACTTCTCAGGACTATACCTGGTACCTACTCAAGGCTGTGTCTACCTGGCAGTCTGGGCCATTTAAAAAAAAAAAAAAGTCTGTCACCCTTAGGACCAGATCTCACGACATTCCTATCCGAAGTCCTGTAGTACTGTTTTGGAGAGGTCCTTAGATCTTGTTACATGTCATTACCATTACATTCATGGGGGTAAGCGATATTCATTATCTGGGAGAAATGTGGCTTTTCTGCCTACCCCCGGGCGTGAATCCGGACCACAAGGAGTTCTTCACCCGGAAGCCGCGCAGAGGTTTTTAACGAACTGCGCTAGCGAGCTGGGCATGAAGAGTAAACGTAGTTTCATTATTGATTTAAGATTTAACATATTTTCTTTGGCATTCGCCCTTAAAAGAGCGGTTGGCGGGTTGCATTGTGAATTATAGCTAGGCTGCGATCTCTGAACTATTTTTAGGCACACAAGTCCATTTTCAACAAATCTCCAGGCTCATCCCATCCCAGTGTTACCCAAGAACTACAAGAGGAGGTGTGAATACCATTATAGGTGTCCAGCGAGCCATGAGCGTTGGCTGCCGATGATGCTTGGTTGTGTGTCAAGGGTGATGGGAAGTTGGCCCTAGAATAAATTGCTTAATCAATAAGGGCAGCGTGCATGTATTGTTATTCAGAAGTGCTGCCTTTGTTGGGGAGGTTGGGGGATGGGGGGGGGGGGGGGTCCGTTTAACGTGCCATTCATTTCTCATAGCACAGTCAGCGTTACTGTAACTATAACGAACATTTTGTAGTAGTTTTCTATCCTAGATCATGGCATGCATTTGTAGGGATGGTAGTAGAATGTGAATAGTCCACCTATCAGTTGTCCTGTCTCCCTGGTCTTGCATCTGTATGGACACAGTACTGCTGCTTCCCAGAAAGGAATTAGAGATCTATACTAACCCTTCTAGCTGTATGGACCTAAACACTTAAAGTTAACATATGGTTTTCTTCATTTTGTCTGTCGAGCTTGCTGGATGTGTGACTGTCTGCCTCTTTCCGTCTTTCTCCCAGTTTCTGTCGAACCTGATCGACATATTTTTGTGTGCAGATCGCCAACGCTTGTTAGTAAGACATTTAATTATGCTTATGATGAAATTTTTCACTAGCAGAAGGCATATCAGCAGATGTGCCAGAACAGGGAAACAACCACTGCGAAGGTATCACAACATGAACAATTTTGATTTCTCTGAAATTAACGTTTGCATTCAAAGAACTCGCCAGTTGTCCTCTCCATTAACGCAGATATTTCCTAACATTTTCTCAACACACGTGGCATAAAACCACAGTATTTCTTTCCTATAATTCTTGCAACTCTTTTTAATTGTCCCCCTTCTGTTTCTGTCTAATTGCAGCTGTGTTTACTTAGCTCAGAATGTCACACCAACAATCCCTGCTATTGGTGGTGCTCTCTTCATCTTTGTCATGGCAACTTTGCTGCGGACAAGCTTCAGTGACCCCGGTGTCATCCCCAGGGCATCCACGGATGAGGCTGCAGAGATGGAGAGACAGCAAGGTAATTATAACAATGTTCTATCTGGCTATAGTAAAATGTTTTTTTTTCTGGTGCTGGCTATGCAGGGATTTGAGATATAGGATTCTCATTCTTGAGGTGTTAGAGCTGGGAGCTGCAATCCTGGAGGAGAAAAGGTAAAACTCATGCTTTTATTATTTTTTTTTTAAAAATATCTTTCCTGGCTCTGATTCTTCTGCATTTTATTCCCTAGTAACCACATAACCTTTTGACAGGAGCTCTCCCCTTTCCAAAAACATTTGTATTTTAACAGCAATAATCTTCTCTAGCATTTTGCTAAAAATATTTTGTAGGGAGATTATTCTGAAACCACTGAGTCTGGAATAGTCTTTGCCTGGTTTTGGAAGTGGGATTAGAGCTGTGTATCCAATCATGGGGTACTGAAGCTGTTCTGATGCTCTGGTTGAAGTGAAAAGCCATCACCCTCAAGTCATCGTCACTCATGCTCTTCATTTGGATATAGCCGACTCCATCTGCCCCCATCGCATTGTCTTTAGCTTTTTGCAATATACATTTTATATCCTCCACCCTAATGATATCCTGAAAATAATTATCATTTATAGTATTAGACAGATTAACCGAATTTCTAAGCTCCCTATCATTATCATCAATTAGGGCTATACATCTCTTCAGAAGTGCTTCCACTTTCACGTTGTCTATTGTCATTGGCATACCATGATCAGTGTATAAAAATGTATGTTGTATTAGGTCGATCCTTCCTTTGCATCTGTCTGTGAAGTTTCTAAAACCTACCTAGGGATTTAGTTTTGCTCATAAAATGTTCCCATTTAGCTAATTTTGCATCTGCTGCATACCGCTTGAACTCTTTTACTTTCTTTTCCAACTATTTCTAGCTTCTAGGGATTTAGTTTTTAGTTTTGCTCATAAAGTGTTCCCATTTAGCTATTTTTGCATCTGCTGCATACTGTTTGAACTCTTCTACTTTCTTTTCCAATTCTTTTTAGCTTGTCGACATCCTCTGGTAACCTTGGAGGTGTCTTTCACACTTTCTGTAATTGTTTAAATGATGCTTGCTTTGCTTTCCATGCCTGTTCTACTTCTTGGGTCCACCATGAAGGCTGCACAAAAGCAGAGGCAGTGGCTCTGCTGCATACCTTCTGTCGAAGGTGTATAATTCAGTGGAATTTGTTTACTTGTTCTGTTGGATAGATATTCTGTTGGATAGATAGCAAGAGTAATAAAGATATCTTGAATACAGAGAACTGATTACTGCATCAGAAGCAGACAATCCACATTCTTCAAGCACATCATGAAAAGGGGAAAACTGGAGTATGTTATGACAGCGGGAAATGTGGATGGAAAGTGAGGTGTAATGTTGGTATTTTTCCACAGGGATTTCCTAAATGACGATATAGAAGTAAACATGAGATAAGAGAGAGACACATGAGAATGTGAATACTCATAGAAACACAAGATATACAAACAGTGCTCAAGTCAGCACTTGAAGCCCAGGGAGACGGTTATAGGATTAGATGAAGAACTAATTAGTTAGTAAGTGTTTAGCAACCAGCATGGAAGTTCATGTTTGAGGGAAGATTGAATGAGACATTGTGTAATTGAAGACCTTAATGAGATTCTGTTCCATGAGAGGACAGTCGACAACCTGATGACAGCCTAACCAGAAGTTGTAGCCGATGATATCCAACCAGCCAGGGAGTCTAACAGTCATGATCAGAAATGCTGTATCAACCATTGTGTGTATCACATGTGTAATGAAACAGGACTGAAAGGTAAAGAGTGTGGATGGTGGTAGACTTCAGTTCTGTACTTGATAAATGTCATCATCTCTTGTTGGACCATGCTAGCCAGTAGTAGACATTGACTGGACCAGACTACCTTTGAAAGTTGAATAAATGATATAAACGAAGATCTTGTCTACTCATTCCCAACTGTGTGCATTCAGAATGTTATCCATGTCATAGATATGAAAAACCTCTAGCAACCAGCTAGCACACAGAGGAGACAGTATCCCAAGAGGCAATGGGAGACTGAGAGAGAATATATTCAAAGTTTTAAATTATTGCAACGAAGAACATCTGTATCAGAAATGTTTGGCAGTTCACAAGCCAGAAGGCTGTGGAAATATGTTATTGCCATTACCACATGACATCAGCTGTAAGAAGTCTACATTTTTTCACGTATTTTTTCATGAATGTAACTCATCTCTGTCACTGATTCTTTTCTCTTTGCATTCTCTTGATATTTCTTCTTTGATCTCTTTAGCATTATAGGTTCCACTGTTCCAGAGGAACCATTTGTAAATTTACAAGTATACAATTGTAATTTTTTCTCTAAAAATATATCTTTCTCCTTTCCCAAGCTGTCAACTCCAGCCCCCCTGGGAGTTACCGACCCCCACCAAGAACAAAAGAGGTTGTAATAAAAGGCCAGGTGATTAAACTGAAATACTGCTTTACCTGCAAGATATTCAGACCTCCCAGGGCCTCACACTGCAGCTTGTGTGACAACTGTGTGGGTGAGTATCCTATCTGGTGTGTTGACACATGTGTCTGAGAAGTCGTCTCAATTATTGTTTTATTGTCTTCAATCATATATTTAATCTTATCTGTACATGTAAACACACATGCATGCACACACGTGTGTTGCAGAAACAGATGATAAATTTACTGTTTCACTGGTGATATTAGCTTTTTTTAACATTCTACTGTTTCTCTGGCAGTATAATTATTTAGCCTATTCAACAGTCTACTGTTTCTTTGGCAGTATAATTATTTAGCCTGTTCAACAGTCTACTGTTTGTCTGGAAGTATTTTTATTTGAAAGTTGACCATTTCACTGGATATTAACAGATATTAGGAGTTTATTGTTTCACTTGGAATATTAACCTGTTAGAAATCTGACAATATAACTGTTTTAATGTTATCATTTTCACTGAAGATATAATTATTTCAAAGTTTACTGTTGCTGTGACAGTGTAACTTCAAAACAGTTTTTTTTCCTCATTGTAAATTTAAATGATATGGATACAAACAATAGATTGGACAGTTGATTGCCTCGCAGATTTTGCCATATCTCATCAGGTTCGTTATTACAGAGTTAACATTTAATGAAGCATAAAAAATAAATCCTTTTTGCTGAAATACATTAATAACATTATCAAGTTAGACTGTAGATCCCTCCCAGAAATTGAAGATCAGCCATATGATTACTATTCTAACTTCAAATTTATCACGTGATACTTAGCTAGAGGGAGTCGCCGTGGCAGAGCGGCTAGACGCGCTCCGCGGATCGGAAGGTCATGGGTTCGCTCCCTGGTGGAGCTGGACTTTTCTTCAAAAATGACCTTGGCTCCCAGGTCGACCCAGCCTTGAGTGGGTACTGGGTGCAGTCCCGGGAAGTAGAGGCGGCCGGCATGATACTGACCACATCACCCATCTTGTGCCGTTGGTCTATAAAAATATAGGTCTAGCCCTATATGTCCTATACACATAAAGGCGTGGAAAAGGGTCCTTTACTTTACTTTACTTACTTAGCTAGAACAGGAGAGTTCATTTATATTGATACGACCTCGGCTAGTTCAAGTAAACATCTATTCAGTATGTGGTAAATAATTCTCAAGGCACAGTCCTTATTAACTTTATGCCCAGCGTCAAGCAGTGAATGTCCTATTGCAAAATTGAGTTAACTCTTCTTGGTTTATCTTGATACAGGATCTCCATTTATTTTTGTGTGGAGCCACTTAGAGATATCATCTGCCATTCTGTTTTTAGGCTACTCTTCTTTTTGACCGAACATGTAAATTGATAAATGCAATTATCTCCATGGTCATACTTGACATAGTTGCCTGATAAGCACCACAGTCCTCTTTTATTGTGTAATGTATGCCCATGCTGATCTTGATCTGTGCTTCCTCCATATGATGATAGAATGCTGTGTATAGGTATATATCTTGGAGCTGCAGTGGTACAGTAACAAGATGCTTGTCTGCCTGTTTGAAGGTCTTGAGTTCTGGTTTATATTGAGGCTGATTTTTTTTAACCGACCTGTGGGTTGCTTGGTTCACCCTGCCTAGAATGGGTACCAAGAAATGTTTTGGTAAATAAAGGTAGCTGGCCTGATACTGACGTCATTACCCATCAAGTGCAGTTGGTCTGTACATATATGGGTCTAGCATTAAATGACCGCTGAGCCGCCACCCCTAGACACTCACCTGCAGATCTGAAGCTCATGGGTTCAAATCCACATGGTGTCAGATTTTTTTTTCAAGCATGACCTTGGCTTCCAGGTCGACCTAGCCTTATGGGTAGCAGGTAAAGTCTGAGAAGTAAAGGTAGCTGGACTGAAGTCTACCACATCACCCACTGAAGGCTGATTGGTCTATAAAATATGCCTGATGCGCATATGGCATGTAAAGAGACGTTTATTAAAAGCCTAATTTGCCAGTGGTGTAGAATAGGTCCTTTATATTTAAATGATATGAAATTAATTTTAATGTGCTAATGTTTTCTTATATTACAGAAAGATTTGATCATCATTGTCCTTGGGTGGGCAACTGTGTTGGTCGAAGGAACTACCGATATTTTTACCTCTTCATTCTGTCATTATCACTTTTGTGCATATACATCTTCGCTTGCGCACTGACAAACCTCATCTTACGTAAGTAAATATGTGGTAGTTTTTCTTTTTATGTGTTGTAACTATACACATAATGTTCCTCCGTGAAAGTGTCCTCTTTGTATACATCTCTATCTGTCTGTGTGTCTCTGTGCGCACACCCGGCACCTTTACTTCCCATGACATGTCCTTGTACTCATCTTAGGCTGAGTTGACCTGGTAGCCAAGGTCACATTAAAAAATCGAATCCCTGCAGATTTGAATCCAAGATCTTCAGACCAGTAGCCGAGTGTCTATCCACTGCACAACTACTGCTGTAAGTTATTAGAAAGAAATTAATAAAATTATGCTAGTTGTAAAACAAAAAGGTTGAATAATGCATACTTTCTGGGGGAATATGTTTTAAATAACGTTAAAAAAATTTGCTTGTAATACAAGTATCTCAGCTATGATCCAGTTTGCTACTGACAGATAAAGGTTTCACCCTTTTCAGTAGTGGACCAACAATAGAGTATGCTTGCATTCCACATGCTTCTCTGCTTAGCGGCACTTGCCTGCCAGTCCAACCATCATGTGTTCCAATCCAGTTGCAAGCGAGAATTGTTTAAAACCGATACAGGCTCATGCTTAAATCAACTTACCATGGATAACAGGATATGTTCTGAGATGTAAAGGCAGCCCATTCACCACATCACCCATCTAGTCTCAATTTCTCTGTAAAAAATATGGGGCACCATATATCCAGTAGGCTCCATGGAATGACAAGTTAACATCCTTACCCACATAAGACTGTGGACCACACCAGTGTGGTGTAGATGTTATGGGTGCCCCACTTATAACTTAATTTGGAGATTGAACAGAGTGTTGGTTTGTCATCCAGATTGAATTTTTGTATTTTCAGAGTAGTTAGATCTTTAGTTAGCAGCCCAGAGAGGAAAAATAAAACAGGGATGAAAATTTTTTCTTTTGTAGTTCAGCAGGCCAGAGAAAGAAGAGAGTTGATTAGAGATGATTGTTCAAGAATGAGCTCATGGTGTGGGTGTGGCTGAGAGCAGGGATGAGATCAGAGCGGTTCTCTATATAATATTAGAAACTTGTTCAATTTACACATGAGTGGCTTCCTAATCTCTTCATTAAGGAAAAATCTGTTTCTGCATCTCTGTATTCTTTATTTATCGTCAGTGTGTCTGTTCGTGTTTCCTCTTCACCTCCAAACATCTGTCTGTGTGTATGGGCGTGTGCTTACATGTGTGTATGTGTGTGTATGGGAGAGAGGGAGAGGAAGCTGAGTGTGCAGTTTTTAGCCATTTGAAAATAAACATGCATAAATATATTGTTTCCTTGACTCTTACCTTTCTCTGTCTCCTTCTCTCTCTTCTCTCTCTCTCTCTCTCGACTCTCTCTCTCTCTCTATATATATATATATATATATATAGATATATATAGATATATATATATATCTTTCAGTCTGTTTCATCTTTGGTTGATTCAGCATCTCTGATCATCTGTCTCTGGCTGGATATTATTGGCTCAACTTCTCTCTCTGGCTCTCTCATCTCCTTCTCAATCTCTCATTTACTCATATATATATATATATATATATATATATATATATATATATATATATATATATATATATATATAATATATATATATATATATATATATATATATATATGTGTGTGTGTGTGTGTGTATATATAAATATATACACACACACCCACTTGGATGTATGTATAAATGTGCATATTGTTTGTAAGAGTTAAGCTTTCATATCGTGTTTACTACTAAAAGGAATTGCTAGCGTAAATGAGCCTAGTAAAGGCATGCTAGTGTAAACGAGCCCAGTATAGGTATGTTACTGTTAACGAGCTCAGTAAAGGAATGTTACCGTAAACGAGCCCAGTATGTTACTGTTAACGAGCTCAGTAAAGGAATGTTACCGTAAACGAGCCCAGTATGTTACTGTTAACGAGCTCAGTAAAGGAATGTTACCGTAAACGAGCCCAGTATGTTACTGTTAACGAGCTCAGTAAAGGAATGTTACCGTGAACGAGCCCAGTATAGGTATGTTACTGTTAACGAGCTCAGTAAAGGAATGTTACCGTGAACGAGCCCAGTATAGGTATGTTACTGTTAACGAGCTCAGTAAAGGAATGTTACCGTGAACGAGCCCAGTAGAGGCTCACGACAGTCGTGTATTCTCGCTCCCCCAGCAAGTGCGCAAGAAATGACATCACCGGTAACTCCAGTCGGCTATTGATATTTCTGTATCGACCAGCATCTTTCCAGCGAAGCTAATTTGTCTTGACAATCCTTGGATATTCCCCTACGTAACACCAACGTAACGACAATTGCCAACGTAAGCACTCGGGAGATAAACTCACATGCCAATTGTACTTTTGAAGCGCAGGCGTGTGGCTGCATGTGACGGAACTGGTGTATCGAACCATTTCCTTTCTTGGCAAGAGGTTGCCGTTGACATGTACGATTTCTTTGTTAGGGTTTTACAAGCAGAAGTTGTACGGAAGTGCTAAGGTCGGCGTGTCATCGGAAGCTCTGCTTATCTGCTTATGGAGGGTCAAAATGAGAGCTCATTGTGTTTTTAGTATTTATTTTTGAACCTTCGACTCTCTCTCTCTCTCTCTCTCTCTCTCTCTCTCTCTCTCTCTCTCTCTCTCACTCTCTCTCACTCTCTCTCTCCATCGTATATGTCTGATGTCTCTGTGTTTGCGGTCTCAACCACAAGATTGTTATTCATCATCATCACAATCCAATAACACTGCGCAGTGGCAACAACACCAAGAAAATAAGGGGTAGAGGAATTGAAGGGAGCCCCTCTTGTCTGTTTTTGGTGGGAACATGGGCTTGACTGCTTTTCTACTGACTGACGTCGAGTGTACTGTGCTACGCTGATCACCTAATCAACTGTAGGTTTCATGACTTGGCAACGCCACTCCACTTACACGGTTGATCTTTTCTGTGTTGACTTCTGTCACAGACATCATTAGCTGTGTCTCCTTCGATATGACTAATGACTCCTGCCGCTGAGGAAACTCTACTCGCATGGCTACTTCTCTTACAGGACGTCCGCTTGAGAGACCATAGACATTCCTGGTGTTAACTGAATATATTGCCTGTACTGTATAAACAGGGTGACCTCTAGAACAGTCTGCTTTTAGTAGTGGTATCTTTGGGTTGAACGTTAAAAGATCTTCCCCCTTCCCTTTCTCTTTGGTTATTGAGGGTTGATCGCTTGAACATTATGCTCGTCTCTGTGGTTTCATTGGGTTGATCGCTAAAAGATCCACATTTTCTCTATAGATTGACTTCTAGAAAATCAAAATAATCTTCTGTGGTTTCTCTGGACTGACTGCTATAAGATCTTATTTTCTCTGTGGCTTCTTTGGATTGGTCGATACCAGATCCTACTTTTCTGTATGACTCTATGGATTTGTCACTAAAAGATTCAACTTTTATCTATGGTTTCTGTGAATTGACAAATAAACGATCCAACCCTTCTCTGTGGTTTATGTGGATTGACTGCCAAAAATATCCAAGTTTACTCTGTGGTTTCTGTGGATTAACTGCCAAAAGATCGTAGTTTTCTCTGTAGTTAATGGGTTGGCTGCCAAAAGATACAAGTTTTCTCTCTAGTTTCTGTGGATTGACTGCCAAAAGATCCACGTTTTCTCTGTCGTTTCTGTAGATTTGTCGCTAACAGCTTATTTGCTCTCAGACAATTTTGAAGTTAACTAAATACTCTATTTAGCTTTTGTTTATCAAGAAAAAGGCATTTAACAGAGTAGATATGAACAAACAATGGGAAATCTTAGAAAGTTATGATGTGAACACGCATCTAACATGTGTAAAAGCTTGCATATCAGCAATGCATTTACTGATAGAACAAATGGAGGACACTCAGAACCATTCATAGTAAAATCTAGAGTGCGGCAGGGCTGTGTCCTATATACTCTTCATAACTTACATTGATAACACCCGTAAAGAAACCAAACTGACAAGGACTATTACACACCAAGGAGAAGAAGAACGAAAGCTAAACAGTTTCATCAAAGAACTGCTATTTGTGGACGACAAAGAACTAATTGCTGCTAGAAACTGAACTGCAAGACCATTTGGAATAGATGATTTAAACCAAATTTGCAGAAAGCATAACATGAAAATTAAAGCCAACAATCCAGATAATATGACCATAACCAAAGTAGAAAAAAAAAAAAAAAAACAATAAATATCCAACTAACAGAAAACCCTCTGAAGCAACCCAAAAACTTCAAATACTTAGGAAGCATAATATCATCAGCCGGCAAAACAGAAGATAAGATAAATGACAGATGTAACAAAGCAAACCAATTCATTGGGCAAATTGCAATAATATTAGGAAACAAACATTTGTCAGTAGGAACCAAAATAGCTCTCCATGACACAATCTGTTTGCTAACCCTATGCTACTAATGTTAGACCCGGACAGCGACAGAAAGAGAGAGGCAAAAAAAAAAAAAAATTACAACAACCTAATTTTTTGAGATTAATACAAAGGGCTCCAAATATAACAATAAGAGATACGATTAGGAAGGATGAAATCCGATGGAGAATGGAGGGTAGCGGCAGTTCTGGATTTCATTTGAAGACAGCAGGTGAAATGGTTTGGCCATATAACTACGGACGTCAGCAAACAATATACCACAGCAAGCAATGATATATAGACCAGATGGGAAGCAAACGATGGGCAGAGGGAGTAACAAGTCCCTGTGAATACCCATTTACGAAGCACATAAACGGGTACTTTCCCGTAAATTAAACTTTACGTCCACACCGAAGGAACAAACGAAATGTATTTCTCTTCTTTCATACATTATTTCATTCCAACATTAAGTAATAGTAAATAAACATAATCAACATGTCCAATAAAAGTACTGGAAAGTGCATATTTTAAACTACAGTAAACCGTAGTAAGGAGCGTTATTTCTAAAATAATTTGTATCTTCTACAAGGGCATGTAATCTGTGCTGAGATAATATTCG